CTCACTCACTCACTCACTCACTCACTCACTCACTCACTCACTCACTCACTCACTCACTCACTCACCCATCGATATTGCCCAGCATCTATGTAGTACAGATTCAGACTCCCAGCAACCATCAGGGGAAGGTCACCTGGTCTCTCGCCTCTGTAAAGACACTAAATGCATTAGACGCAAGCACAAAGTAGACATACGTTGTACATATTTGTGAACAGATAGTATTGTGCATCCAGTATGATTTCTTGACTAATCTCTAACTTCGATATTATACAGCAAGCGGTTATCTTTAAACAAAAATTTCGTTACCCTCTTTGATGCAGATGGTTCAGAGTGCAGTAAATCGATTGTACCCGACCGACTAACAGAGCAGAGTACAAGAAATTTATTGTGAAGAATGAATTGTTAAACGAAACATGTCATTTTTAATGTCTAAATCCGTCTCTACATTACCCTTACCTCTCACGTAACGTAACGTAACGTAACGTAACGTAACGGAACATATCTGCATGTAACGTGCGCAATATAAATCAATAAAATATTATAACGCACACGATAACGCCTACCCCGATCCGACCATTAGCTCTAACTCTTACCCATTACTTACTACAGTTACTATAGTTACCAGCCACAACCTAATCCATAACAATAACCTTTTCCCTAAAGCCCGGGACATAGTAGGCGACTTTCACCGGCGACTGAGCAGGGCGAAACATTAGTTTGTCCAGTCAGTTGCCGCCGAACCTCCATTCGATCGACTGAATCGCCCGTATCAATACCGGAGCACTCTAAAAACGTCAAAGACGTTCAGTAAGGGTCAATTTTGGTGCTGAATGTCATGGGCACATTGGATTTGACCTCCGAGGTCATTTAAGCCAAAAAACAAAATATATATATATACTGGCCCGTGTAGCAGCATTAAATAAACGCCCCCTGCGGCAACACTAAATAAACGGGCCTCTGCAGCAGCAATAAATAAACGGGATTCTCTTTGCATTGACTCGCAATACTATACTATGCGGGCGACTGAGTGGATACACCAGGCGAATAACAGCGCGATTCATCGGCGATTTTTCTCCCGTTGCAACACTAGACACTAAACACTAGATGCTCGCGCCACTTAGATTAATAGTCACGTGATTGAAAATGGCACCGTCCTGTGATTTGATTGGCTGATGAATTGTACATTTGGGCCACTCATTCGCCGGACACACTAGCCGAATGTAGTGGCGACTGAAATATTTATCAAACATGTTTGATACGGACGATTCAGTCCCCCGAATGGAAATTCGGCGGCGATTGACACTGGACACACTAGGCGAATTTCACTCACTCACTCACTCACTCACTCACTCACTCACTCACTCACTCACTCACTCACGCACTCACACACTCACACACTCACTCACTCACTCACTCACTCACTCACTCACTCACTCACTCTGTGTGTGTGTGTGCGCGCGCGTGTAGGTGTGCGTGTGTGGGTGCGTGCGTGCTTGTGTGTGGGTCTGTGTGTGCGTAGGTGCGTGCGTGTGTTGTGCACAAGTGTGCGCGTGAGTGTGAGTGTGCGTACGTGTGTGTGCGCGTGTGAGTATGTGTACACGTGTTCGCACGTGCATGGGGTGCGTGTGTATATTCGCGTGTGCGTGCGTGGGTGTGTTCGTGCCTGCGTGAGCGTGCGTGTGCGTAAGTTTGTGCGTGTGCGTAAGTTTGTGCGTGTGTGAGCGTGTGTGCGTGCATATGTGCGTATGTGTGCGGATGCGTGGACGTGTGTGAGTGCGAGGGTAGTCTGTATCCATGTTCGTCTCTATCTCTCCCCTCTCCCTCTCCCGCCTTGTGTGTAAGCTGTTCGTGTTTAGGTCGTCTGCACACAGCTTCTGGTCGTTGATGTGAATCTACGGACATCAATGGCTGATAAACATTAAACAACTGTTACCTTATTCATACAAAGAGAAATTCGTTGAATTAATTTGCATAGGTTAAATTTCACGTGATTCCTCGCAAGAAATTCGTCCTTCTCACTCTCACTCACTCTGACTCTCACTCTCACTCTCACTCTCACTCTCACTCTCAGTCTCACCATGCCCCTCCCTCTTGGACGATAGAGCAGCCGCTGTAGACATAGCTCCTCAAATCCGATTAAATATAGGGTGAAATATGTTTACTCCCACACATG